ATAGTTACTCTAAGATTTTTTTAATTTATATTTTCTATCAAATATTGCTAATATGTAAGATTGCCCCCAGTTTTTATGTAGTGATTTGTATCTAATCACTTCACTAATTCTCTTATTTCTTTTATTCATTTTTTAGTTGTATATACTAATCTCAAAGTTTCTATCTCTTATATATTTATAGTTATATTCAATTTCTTGATATAATGTTGGGCATTTATTTTCTTTTTCTTTTTCAGTAGATATTTCAATGTCCAACTGAATATGGGTGAACTACTTTCCCTAAGAACATATCCTTATTAATGCTGTTCTTCAATTTTTTTTTATCTTTGAGTTCCATTTTTATCTTTATTTCCTTTCACACATTTTTCTCAATAATTCTTATTTCTTAGATATGGCATTTTTTGAATGTTTAGTTCATGATTTTATTCTCATTTTTAATACTACTTATGATATTGTGATTCATAAAAAGAAGTACATACTTTCATCTTCTTTCCTCTTTCTTGGTACACAGTTCCTAAGGCCACTGGAATCTCCAAAGTCCTTTCTTTGCGCATGCTAATGAGATGACTGGTGGCAGGAGGTTCTGGGATGGGGGCTACCCTGAACTTCGAGGGAAAGGGGCTGAAAGTTAAATTAATCATCAGTGACCAATAATTTCATTGATCATGTATATGTAATGAAGTCTCCATAACAACCCCAGAAGAAAGAATTCAGAAAGCTTCCAGGCTGTGGAACACAAAGGTTCTGAGAAGGATACAGAATCTACTACATTTTCTGAGTTTTGTTTTGGCCCAAAATTATAGAGAGGTCTGGCATTACCTAAGTGACTAAATTTTTCTTACTGGTATTGTTTTTTAATTAAATTTTGGTATCACTGAATTGTGAGGAGAGAACATGGCCTTTTTTGAGAAAGTTACTGAGATTTTTTTTTTCACTTCACTAGGAAAGAAAAAGATTTATGTATCTCACAGTTGCACAGACTAAAGGTCCAAACACCACGGCTCTGACTCAGGTAAGAGCTCCCTTGGCTGCATCACACACCAAGATTTTTTTTTTCTTTTTGGCCTAATGCATTATAAAAATGTTTCATGAAGCTTTAAAATGAAGGTGGTTCTTGATCTACAGAAGTAACCGAAGTCACTGGCTAACCTGCCAGACTCTGAGATATGATAAAACTGTATGATAAAATCATAAAGAAAATATTCTTTTCATTTCTTTCTGATTATCTAAGAGGATTTTATTTCATATATTTGGTGGAATTTTCTTTATTGAATAACAACTCATTGAAATGTCTTTGTGAATCTAAATGCTACCAAAGGAAATTAACTTCCTGTACCTCTTAATTATCCTCCTGTACTTCTTGTTTTCTTGAATTTTACTGTGTCTTTTGATAAAATCAGAACTAAAACCTTTTGCTTTTTTATCCACATATCTTCATATATCGTTAATTAAACTTTTATTTTTAATATTACTAAGCCACTTATTTTAAATATGTTACTACACAGAATATGTAATTGAAAATGGAGGTTTTTGGTTTTTTGCTTTTTTTT